AATAATTCTTGTTCTAATCTGTTTTGCTTTTTAAGTAAGGTCAGCCTCTCCTGACCAGATGCAGAATAAAATAGTATATTTACTAGCTAGTTAAATGCATTTGCTTGGTAACACTTTACTTGAGGGGGCACAAGTAACTTAGTAACTCAGTTACTACTCAAGTATGAATCATGAGCAAATATAGTAACTGCAGGAAATACATGAACAGTTAGAATCGATTAATGATGAATGAACATGGGATTAGTGTGTAACTAACACTTTCTGGTTAATTAATACATTAAGTAAGAGTGTACTACCACATTATTTGTGTTCCCACGGGTACAGTGTTACTCATTTGCTTTGGCTTTTCAGTGGCTCATGCAATTTCCAGGTTCTCAAACAGGGAAACTCATACATGTGAATGATAGTTGTGTTCTGAATATCTTTTTGCATGCCATTGAAACGGTAGATGAGAATATCTGCAGGAACAGGGTATACTGCAGCTTTCAGTTTTCATGAGAGATCTCAATGGAGGGAGTATCCTCAGTTTGTATAGGTAATGCATATGAAAATAAGTTAGTAAAATAAATTAAGTAGTTGTGCAGATATGGTTGTGGAGTTTCTTTGCTTTTACATTCACCCAATGTTGACCCTAAGAAGAAGTTGGCTAAGCAGATCGCACTGTTAACTCACACCTCCACATTGTGGGTTTGATTCCTGGTCTGTGTGTGGAGTTCTCTGGTTCCCTCTCACAGTTTTGGTGAGAAGAATGGTGTCTGGTGTGACTGGTGTCTCTAATATGTTCGTATTATGTTAGCATGTACCCCGCCTTTTGATGTAAGACCCATTGGATAAGCAGTTATGGGTAATTAATGAATGGTTCTCAGGGGGAAAAATTCCTGTTTACGTCTTACCAAACATGAAATGAAAACAGAAAAATAAACTACATATTTATCAAAGACAAATGCATGGCTAGCTTGCACCATAGAAATGATTTGTGCATTTCTATAGGGTTAACCAGATAATAAATTTAATAACCACATAAAGGAAAATAACATTTACATAGAGAAGATGAAAAGAATTCATTGAACACCGATTACATTTTTAGGCGAGTTTCATAATATTCTTCAGAGAAGTGTGTTACTAATACTATGCATATAAACCAGCATGACTAAAATTGTGGATTATGAGACCAGAGAAACATGGTGTTTAACCTACAGCTTAACATTACCAGTATTAACACTGAGAAATGACAGGTAAATGAATGCAAAGCTGTTGCTTCAGTTATTTGAATTGCTTTTCAAATGTTCAGCCATCTGAACTAAATTATCCATGAACTGTACTTTATTACATGTGAACTGGGACAAAACTCACACTACACAGGTTGGTCTGTCGCCATGCTAATCTATGGTCTTTGAACTTAAGGTGGCACTCTAAAAAACATTAGCTGAGATGGGATTTCTTAAGGCGGCCCCAAATAATGGCTAATTCCCCATATCAAAACAAGCTAGTTGAAGCACTGTGGGGTTTTTTCATGCGTATTGAGATGGGTAGAGATTTCTAAAACTTCTGTTTCTTTTTAATGCCAATATTGTTTAAAAAAAACCCATAGGGACCTTCATGGTGACTCAACAGCATGTGACACACATATGTCAGGGTGAGATGACCAACTGCCTTCAAACCTGACAAAACAAAGTAAAAATAAAAGCCACCCCTTCAGGGTTTGTTCTCTGCTTGACATGTCGGTTAAATGCCCAGGCGTTTTTCTGCATTGTGTTTCAGACAATGTGTGGGTGTCACTATGGCTGCAGTTTTCAAGCAACTGCTATTGTAAAATGGGCCAAATTATTGGAAAGCTGCATTTCCCCCCACATTTATTAAAATGAAATACTGCATGATGTACAGGCTATGATTTTGTCTCAGGTTTGGTTTCACAGCATTTTTTTGAATTCCTAGGAAGATTCGGCGGCAAAAAATTACGGTGGAGACCGGCTCCCCGGAAATCAATTAACAATGGCGCTGATGGACTCGCATGACAGAAGCGTGTCGGTATTGCTAAGCAACATATTAATCTAACAAACTGAAAAGAAGGACATAAGCAGCACAGAGAAACATCTCTCTGCATATGCTGAAGAAAAGACAATTATTATGGGATCTTTCACTTCTCTATTTTCATCATACATCGTGCTGCTGAACAGGGCACATAATAACTCTTTTTTTTTTTTAAAACATTAAATCATTTCCCACCTAGGAGGGGGAAACTGAAAAACAACGCTACAGAAAGTCAGGGCTATGATGACACTGTAATGTTTAGACTACATTTCACTATTACAATTACATACTGTGTAACTTCTTAAAAGCTACAAAGCATGATGGGCCTGCATGACACATTCTACAAAATAATGGTCTTTAAATGCTGCCCTGTCCGCATGAACAGGATTACTGAAATACCTTATAGCTCTTCCAAGGTTCTACACCTTAAAAATACTGTGATATCTCAAGACGGCAGTTGTGGTACCACCAGGGTTGCAACTAACAAGAACAAAGACTGTTTTTTTTTTTAAAAACAAACCACTGCTACAATCTAAAATAACCTTTAGTGGTGCCCAGTGCTTCTTGTTTTAAACGGTTTTGCTCTATACCCCCCCCCCCCCGCCCCAGGGCCTCAATTAGAAAAGAACCTCAACTAACCCTGTTAAATAAAATGTGAAGGACCCAACCCAAGGGCGTAGATTTGGGGGTGGCTAGCAGGGACATGTCGCAACAAATACAGTGAGGGTACCGTGTGTTTGTTTTTGGGAGGGGGGGTGATCCTGGTGGGCTCATTTGGTCCCAAAACTGCAGCCAAACCTGTGTTTTTGCCTCCAACCGTGAACTATTTTTTTACCGAATACAATGAAGGGGCAGTGAAGGCAACATGGCTTCAGTCTACGAAGAGCAAAAGCAGTTGTAGGTGAATTAAAACGGTGGTTGTGTGTTTTTAGTTTTAGATATTGACCTCTGCAATGCGTGGATATACAAAAACATTGATTCTTTTAGATTTGAAAACCAACTCAGCCTATTCACTGAAAAAAAGAACCAGTTCAAAAGAACAATTTGTTCCTGAATCGGACATCAATATCATTCACTTGATTGCAAGTAGTGTTTCTTGCTAAGACCAATGCGTAATGCTTTTCTCTCTGACTGAAAACTGCGCCAATACAAATGCAATTCCACATGGTTTTGGACTTGGGTACTAATAATCAATTTCATTAGAACAGGTTCCTGCTGTGATATTACGCGTCGTAGCAGGCCTGATTGTAATTTAATCAAATATAGCCCATTTTAACACAAGAACATAAGCAGTGCCCTTTAAATAAAGGAGTAGACCTATAATATAGCAATAACCAAATCTTAGTTTCACATCGCAGTCTTCTAATCATTTTATCTTTGTATTACAACAGCTAGTATCAGAACAGAGTAAACCTGCCACCAAAGTTTCATGGCTCCTTTTTTTTTGGGGCTGCGATTATCAACATCCTAACCGCTCTCAAAGTAAGAACAACCTTTCTATGCTTTTGCCATTGCTGGCCAGCTAAAAGGTGTCTGTGTCTCTTAAGAGGAAGTATGCTCCACATCCCCCTAATTTGCATTGGCTGTGTGCTGCACATTCTCAAGAACATGGCAGCTGTGGAGGCCTGCTGCTTCCTAGCCATGTGGAACAAAGCGTTCAGTGCTTCGGCAGCGTCGCAGTGACATTTGCTACACTTCGCCGTGGCACAATATAAAATAAACGGTGATCACTAGCAAACACGTCTCTTTTTCTACAACCCTGGAAGTAACGTTCACAATCACTGGACATTAAACTGCAGCTGCGTCTGCTTGTAGAAGACTAAGTGGGAATTTAGAGAAATACATTTTCATATTTTCCTTATTCATTAGATTAGCTTCTCAGTAAAAATAGAAAATGTTTGCGTCCAGCTCGTATGAGAAGATTGCTATCAAGATGATAACTTCCTGTGCAGGAGCTCCTGGTTCACAGGTCTGCGTGCACATTCTCTGGCCATTTTATACCAAAGATAATATTTGACTAGATGTGAGATTAATGCAATTTTAGTCCAACTCAACCTTCCCAGATGCTGCACTAGTCCACAGATATTCACACACATAGCTATGTTTTAATCATGTTTTCAAGGTACGTCATGAGAAAGGACAGACCCATAATATTCATCAAGCTTCCATAAGCTGGATACATGTTTAGATCATTTATGGAGCCAGAACAAACACGTTTACTTTCAGTACTGTAAAGGGCTTCAGTGCTTCTTTAAACATCACATCCATAACCCTGGTGCAGAACAAACGAGGTATGAAAAGAGTGACTTCAAACTGCAAAACAATCCTTCTTACATTAGGCCCAACTGTGCATGATACAGTGTACAGTGTCTACAATCAGACATGAGTGAAAATAATTTTTCATACTTGGAAGTAATGGAAAAAAAGTATCTAAACATATATTTCACCAAATACAGTGATTCATCAGAATAACCAAAACTAAAATTGTTTTTGTCATAAAAATATGACAGTATCATATAAAGTTTTAACTATGTACTGAAGTCAAAATATACTGTAAAGATTGTCTTCTTAGGATAATATTCAGCGTAAGTATTTATGAGTTTTTTAGAAAATTATATATTTGCAATAAACTCAAGATATGAATCTTTGCACAGTTTTGTGAAGAATAACTCAACATTTTAAATAGTACGATGAGCACAAATTTAACGTTGAAGAAATCTGCGCTGAAAAGTCACTTTAGAAATTAAGGGTTCTCACGTTTTTATCAGCGACACACAGGTGCGGGCATTTCCCTTCGCCTCTGGGGCTTTTACGGTTTCCCCCATCTCTCACATCAGAGCTCAAACCCAAGGCTCAGCGGCATCACTTATCTGAACGGTCCGGGCAGCGCCAGTACTTCGAACCAACGAATAGGATGCCAGATGACAAAGAGTCGGGTACGACCACTAGTGCCTCAGTTGGCGATTTACCTTATAGACTTCTCCATAGGTGCCTCCGCCGACTCGCAAAAGGATTTCAAAGTCATCCTGGGGGTTTCTGGTGGAGATATCCAGCGCGGCACGGTTCTGAGAGTCCATCACTGCTGGGGCATAGCAGTGGCTCTCGCTCTTCACTGCACACTGGCTTACATACGCACCTTCCTGTCTCTCTTGCACCCAAGCGCCCTCCCTTTCTGCTCTCTTACTCTCCCTCTCATGCCATGACTCATTTACATTAATGCTGGTTTTATTTCCTGTTGGGTGTTCCTGTGTGAGGGTGGTGCGCGTACGCCATCTCTCTCGTTTCTGGTACCTGTGTACGCAGTTGCAATATCCTTGGCCTTAATACGTGTGCATCTCCGTTTGCCTGCAGAAGCCATGCAAACAGAATGAAGTTGCACGGCTGTCCTACTTTCTGAGCCCCATCTTTAAAATGTGACTAACATCCTGTATTGCGATTTATGCATGCGATCCGGTCGACGTAAAAAACAAATGCCTTTGAAAGGCCCCTTCGCAGCTGTTGCCTGAATTGCTTTGAAGTGTTTCTGAGTTGGTCGAGTAACCAACACGAATAATATCATATGCAAATATTATTAAAAAATAAGAATGACATGGGGCTCTGTCGGGATGAGGTTCTTCTTTCGTTGAAGGGACAGAAATAGTCACCAAGAGTGACAATGAACTGATAGTAGCAAGTAATGAGAAAACAGTATTTTATATATTTTTTAAAGTTCATTATAGAAAACCCACTATGTATAGCCATAAGCACAAGTTTGGTACAGAATTAGGAACCATTGCTGGGGTAAGATAATCCAAAAAAACATTTGGGAGATTTTTTTTTAATATAAAATGAGTGACAAGGTTCAGATTTTAATTATTACATACGTTTTTGATGTATAAAGTTAAGGAGCTTGCACTGATTATAGTGCAATGGGGGACAGGGTGGTGGCCCTGAGACTAGGGATCTGTGCTGGTAATTGGAAGGTTGCTGGTTCAAATCCCATGAATGCCATGAGTGAGCAAGGCCCTTAACCTGCAATTGCTTCATCCTGGGTATGATGTTAATCTACATCCAGCCCAGTAAAGAGGTCCTCCAACTTACAAGGAATAACTGGGGGTAGGTGGCAGGATTGGGATTCCAGCCACCAGAAAAAAACCTCATACTGGTGCATTTGGGCTGGTGTGGTGCTGCAGTATCAGTTGCTGCATGGCAGCACTCAGGTTCCTGTCCAGACCAAGATTTTGTTTCAACCAAACAGCTGAATACTCTGTGACTCTTTATACTCAACTGGTTGGTTGAAACAAATTTTTAGTCTGTATCACTGATTCAGGTGCTCTGTGGAAACCTACATGGGAAGATTAGAATAGAGATACTTTATTCAGAATAAATAGAGAGACTTCATTCAGAGTCCCTGGAACGATTGGGATTAAGGGCTTTGCTCAGGTGACCAATGGTAGCATAACTCTGGTTTTAGCCATTTCCAGTCATGGACATATTTATATGCAAATCATGGAATTCTGCTGTAGTCCAGTTACACCATTATGTATACATGACTCTGTTAGCATTTCTCAGATTTCCTCAGTTTCTCAGGTTTTCTCCCTATAGGAATTTTTGTGTTTTTCGGGGGGAAATTAATCGATGAGGTTGTTTGAGTAAGAAATTAACTACCTCTACCCTACTTCATGATGGGAAACTACTTACTATAAACACAAGGGGGTGCCACTTTGCAGGACGGGAAATGAAAATGTCACCGCAATGGCAGGTTTGTGCTTCTGTTGCTGCACACGTCCTGGTGACCCACTAAGGTCCAGATTCTGGGAGGCCTTACAAAATTCTTCCTTGTGTCTGGCTGGGGGTGCTGTGTCCTTCGAGTGGTCTGGGAAGGTGTACTGGATTTCGGGGAGTAGCTTGCAGTCCCTGCTTGAACCTCTGATGCTGTGGCTGGTATCACACCATCTGTAGGTCATCTGGACTGGTCCCCAAGAACCACAACAATCCTGTGCCTTGGTCGAGTACATGTGTGGTAGAAAACATCCGGCAACTGCTGAGGTACCTCACAGGTTCCTATCCATTGCTGGGTAACTTGGGGCACAATCAGCCTTCCTCGGGGGGTTATACAACCACACCCTCAACCTTGTCTCCAAGTATGCACCTTGGCTCTGGTCATCATAGATCCTCTTCTGTCCACCACCAGGCACACCCAACACTGAAGCACAAACTGTCATCTTTCTTCCTCACCAAGACTGCTGGCGCTGCCCATGAGTTGGTTCAGTGACTCTTCTCTTCGCCTTCTTCTCTCTTGGCAAGTGGCAGCCATTCAGGATGAAGGCAATTAATCGTGGGGTCCCCCAGCTCGCAAGCCCATCGGACCACCAGGGAAATGCCCAGAATGCCGGATGCCCAGTCCAAGAGTACAGTCCTCATTTCACACAGCAAAGATGCCAATATGGGCGAGCAGCAGTGTCTTTAGTCTAGCTTTCTCCTCCATCTTCAATCCCTCAGAGCTCTGCTTCCACAAGGCTGTCACTGCCTCCCCGGTGATGTGTTGCTGGTTTTTTCCCTTTTTGTGTTGCTGACTGGATAGTCTTTTGTCCCTGACCAGTCCTCTATACGTGCCTGGCCATTGTTTTCCCTGGGTCAAGGTTCAACTATTGCTTCCACCAAGCCTTGGATAAATTACAATGGAGATCATCCATCCCACTCCTGACATCAAATGGGTAGGTTAGGTACTGAACTCTACTTCTACCCTACTCTAGCTTAACTCACAGTGGGGAACTATTTACATTAAACACAAGGGGGGGGAGGGGAGTGCTTTGCATGATGGGAAATGCAAATGTCACCACAGTGCCAAGTTAGCGCCTCTGGCCTTAAACTTGCTTGCCTGTTTATATTACATTAACCACTTATCCGGTAGAAGGCTGTAATGAACTTGGTGCCTCTCACAGGGAGGCTGGGAACTCAGATGGGATGCAAGTCCATCACAGGATACACACACTCATTATGGGTAAAACAGACTCACATGTTCAGCTAACCATGGGGAGAATGTGCAAATGCCACACACACAGATCTGGGGGCAGGATTTAACTTGCAACCAGTGCTAACCAGTGTGCTGCCCTCATTTCTCACTATTCTCCTGCCCTAATTTTTCAGGAACTCAGCACTTGTCTAAAAATATGTTACACTGATTGAGCTACATCCTCATACACTGACCATCTCATCTCACCATCTGATCTCATTTTCCTGCTGTTTCTCCTGGTGAGGGTTGCAGTTGGCAGCATGCAGTACAGATCAGGCTAGACCCCTTTTTGAAGCGCTGGTAGGAGATATAATCCCCCTAGTGTGTCTGTCCTGTGTCTTCCTCAGGGTCACAGGCCAACAGGATTTGCCCTGAAGTGCACCCTTAGGAGCCGTCCAGGTAGCATCTGACTCCCCTGATCCGATTGAGCAGCACCTTTCTTTAGGGTTGGAGAGTGAGTTCAGCACTTCATTTTGGCTGCTTATACTACTTATAATAGTTCTTCCAATCATCACCTATAGCTCTTGACCATGAGGACATGGGGGTAGATTGAAAGGTGAGTCTTGTTTGACAACTTAGCCCCAGCTTCACCACCACAAACCGTCTGTGACCACATAGCTGCAGTCACTGAACTGATTAGCCTGTGTACAACAGTTGAAGCACACCTTTATGCATATAAAATTTGTATGTGTGTTTTTTTTTTTTTTGCTAATTTCGCCTTTGTGAAAATTAATTTTTCATTCTTGTTTTTGAAGGGCTATTTTAAAAAATCTATTATTACAAGTAGGAACTGAAAAAAACTGTAAATTTTATACGCTATGACCAACGGATTCATTTGAGGCTTACACTCTTTTCAAGCGCCGTCAGAACACCTTGCAGTGTGAGTAAACTCTTATATTGAGACTTTCCGGTCTTCATTGTGATTATTTAGATTAACTTTATAAATAATATTGCTTTCACTCTATACTACTTAAAAAGACCGGAAGAGTCTCAGCAAAACCTGGAACCTAGTCTGAAGGTCCCACCACGTGATACCAACTTCCGGTCCTTCTGTTAATTCCTTCCTACCCATTTTATTCTGTTTGCTGGTCCACGTGTGGATTGCAGCCGAACCGAACATCTTCAGTACCAGTACCGAGCTGATAAAATACCAGTTCCAGGTCCGGGACGAGATGGCGTCATCTTTTGAGCAAATGAGAGCTAATGTTGGGAAACTTTTACGGGGGATTGATAGGTGCGTAAGGATGTGGATGCTAAGCGCCGTTGTCATTCAGTAAACAGCAATATTAGCATTTAGTTTACTTTCTGCTCTACTTTCACAGTACGGAATGCATGATTTGTTTTGAAATCAGACTATTAATCAACGAGCAAGCTTTTTAAACTTTATCTGGTATTCTGTTATTTAAAAAAACGTTTTCGTATTTAAAATGAGTTAACCTGTCGTACTGGTGTCTATATGGCTTCTGTCCACAGGAGACTAGTGTATGTCCCTCTACGTTTAAACAGCTCCTCTAATCATATTTTTAATTAAGGTATAACCCAGAAAATCTGGCCACGCTTGAGCGATACGTGGAAACGCAGGCAAAGGAAAACGCTTACGATTTGGAAGCCAACCTGGCCGTTCTTAAGTTGTGAGTACTGCTGAATGTTAAGGGAATATTCCTGGCGGTTATATCATTTTATGTAATGTTTATTACAGTGTTTCCTCAATTTTACTTTTCATACACCTGCGTAGTACATTGTATATAAAGTATTTGTGTTGTATAGGTACCAGTTCAACCCCGCCTACTTCCAGACCACTGTGACGTCTCAGATTTTGCTCAAAGCCCTGACCAACCTGCCTCACACAGACTTTACATTGTGCAAGTGCATGATAGACCAGACACACGTATCCTTTTGTTCCATTTGTCACTTCTGTGAAAGTACTCACACCTGTGCAGAAAGGAACAGACATTCACTTGTATTTTTACAAAGTGTTATTTAGAAAAGTATTTAAGCATTATAGCATTATGACCTGACTAGTAAGTAAATTCAAAGAATATGTTTATGCTAGTGGTTAACATTGATAATGATGTATTTAGTTTTTGTTTTTGCTTCTGGTGGACAATTTTCAAGTGACCGGAATGTAAGGGATATTACTGATTTTGACAAGATGTTATTAATGTTGCAGCAGTACATACAGGCATGCAGATGGAGTTGTTAGTGGGCTGAGGGCTGCATATTCATTGAGAGTATTTTTGAGCAAATTTGAAGAGCAGTTGTCATCGCAGTGGCAGCCTCTTTTCTTGACTACAGTGTCGCAGCAAGAGGAACGCCCGATAAGACAGATCCTCTATCTCGGCAACCTCCTGGAGACGTGCCAC